CTAGGAGTTTTAATATGTGCACTGTATTTGTATATAAGATATTTAAATACATTCATTGAATTACAAAGATTTACTGAAACTATTTTTTAAAATTTTATTCTCATTTATTTGCAAAGTTTGAATACATTGTTTTTCACAAAAAGATTTTTCCCATTTTCTTCACTCCACCCACTCATTGCATTGTACAACCCTTTGGTTAACCCCCTATCCCCCATCCACACTCTTTTATTTCCAACTTCTCCTCTGCCTTGGATCCTGATACTCATGCTACAATAATGGAGTTTTAAACTTTTTTAAAATTATTATTAATTTTAATGAAGATTTGATTTCCATTTATTCATTGTTGCACTTTTCTCCCTGCCTACCCCTCCTGCCCCGCAAGTCCATCTTCTCTTTGAAAAGTGAAAGAAAAGTCTTTCATTGTTTTACAATCCCTCCCCCCAGGTCTATCCCACTATGTAGCCTTCCTTCTGGACTTCTGTCATTACAATAATACCTAATCACATATCCCTTTTAAACAGTTTTCTCCCTCAACAAACCAGGTTTTATTGCTGCCATTTTGCTGTTTCTTTTTCTGTTGTTCCTGGTTACTATGGTCAATCCACTTTCTTTTAGTGTCTCTGTGTGAAGAACTTCCCTGAGAATTTCTTGTAGAGGTGGTCTTGTTTTCACAAATTCCTTAAATTCTTCCTTTTCTACAAATGATCTCTTTTTCTCCCTCAAATCTGATGGGCAGCTTTGTTGGGTACAAGTTTCTCTGTGGGTGAATTTTTTTTTCTTTCAACTTTCTGCACATGCTATCTCATTGTCTTCTTGCATGGTTTTTGCTGAAAAATCAGAACTTAATCTAGTACGTTCTCTTTTGTAGGTGACTTTTGTTTGTCTCTCACTGCTTTTAGTATTCTCTCCTTATCTTTGAGTTTGGATAATTTGACTGATATTTCATGTTTTTCTTTGGGTCTATTTGGGTTTTGCTAAATTCCTTGAATACAGATTTCCTTGTTCTTCATGCTTGAATTTTCATGCATTTCTGTTATTTCTAGTCCTGTGTTGGCTGTATCCTCTTTGTTTCATGATGATTTCTTAAGGTTTTTTTATCTATTTATATATTATTTCAATTCTTTTTTTAATCTTTTGCCATTTCTTTCATAATTGATCAAATTCTTCCACCCTGATGTAATTTCTTCTGGCTCCTCTATCTCTGTAGTATTTGCACATTTTTTTATTCCATTCTTTCTTCCATCATTTGCATCTTCTTCTGTATCTGTTCATATAACTTCATGCCAATCCATTTCTTCTGCCTCTCCATCTCTATGGTATTGTTTGGGTCTGCAATATGCTGTCTATTTTTGTAGAAGGTTAGTTTTGTTTTTCACAATGTTTGGAACTACCTGATGCTTTCATGATATGAGAAGTTTTTCTTTCTTGATATGAGAAGTTTTTCTTGATATGTGTTAGGTCATTTCTATTGTGTCTATTTAGATTGTTAATAGTTCTTCATCTTTATTATGTTACTGATTAGTTGCAGGCTTAAAGTGTTTTATGTTGTTGTTGACCTGAGCACTGTTCATAGAGTTTCCAGAGGCAAGCCATTTCAGAAGTGGATGCCACTCCTGCTTCCAAGCTTTTTTTTAATTGAGAAGCTCCACCAAACACTGTCCACCATGGGGTTCTTAAAGTGTCTGGGGGTAGGCAACTTGTTCTATTGGAAATCCTTTCTGGGCCTTTAGAGCAGGGAATATTGCCTCTCTAAATGTCCTTCAGGTCCTTTCTGGCCTGCAGTGCTTCTTCAACAAATGGTGCTGGTAAAACTGGACTGCTTCCTGCAGAAAGATGAAATAGAATGTACATCTCACACCATACACAAAAATCAACTGGAGGTAGATTAGAAGCCTAGGAATAAGGCCTGAATCATAAAGATCATAAGAGACAAAATGTGACCAAACTTAGAAGGCCAAGCCTATAGTACCAATAAGCTGGCAAATATAGCCAGAAATATATAACCAGGAGAGGATAGCATAGATGAACGGGACCTTCTAAAGTTTAAATCCCTCTGTGCATCAAAAAAATTTTCCATTTTTTTCCTCACTGGATCTTTCCCATTTCCTTAACCCACACCTCCCTTCACCCACCAAATTATGTGACCCTATTACCCCTTTTGCCTATCCTTACCCCTCTGTTGCCACCCTCCCCCTCTTAGATCCTCATACATAGTTATCTATTTTTTTAATACTGATCTTATACAGTATTTTTCTTTATAGGACTGAGTTAATACTTAAATAAACCAGAATAAAAAAATTTTATATTTAATTCAAAATGTCCCAAATGAGACTGGAACATAGGAAAGTAAATCAGAATAGAAAGGGAAAGTTTTAAAAGTCATGCACAAGAAAGGGAAGGGAAAATTTAAAGACTAGAAGAAAATGAGAATGAAATTAGGGGAAAACAAACAAACAATATAAAAACTACCAAGAAAACCCATTTTCCATTAAAAGAAAACCTACTGACTGGGAAAGATGATATTTCAGTGATTGTCAGTGATAATTCTGGCAAGGATCTGTCTCATAATAAAAGTTTACAGAATCCTACAGGGTCTCTCATAAGAAAAATATTAATAACAAAATTATAAAATGAGCAAAAGACATGGATAGATTTCTCACAAAGGAAAATATTCAGATAGCCAACAGACACATGAAGAAGTGCTCAAAATATATTACACAAGGGATAGGTTAGGAGAGGTATACAGTCTGATACTGTAGCCCTGAGTTTATTCTTTCCTGTCCTTTTATCCTCTTTTTGCAGTGAATAAAAAAACAACCCAGCCTCAAGGCCAACAATATATTCAGTTCCGATTTAGGAGCCACCTGCTAGCTAAGCCAGGCAAGCAAGGCTGTTTGCTCTTCTTAACAGCAGCAGGCAAGGCCATCAGAGTTTGAGTATAAACAGAGTCTTTAGGGAGGGACGTTCCATTCTCCACATCCCTGCTTAGCCCTAGGTTTCAAGGAAAGATTGAACCTGTCTCTGCTCCCCTTCAAACATCAAACCACAATGATAAACAGCTCTGCACATTTGAACGTGGCATAAAATGATGATTTGCATATAATGGCTGCAGTGTGGCTCGCTACAAGATACCATCTTACACAGTAATAGAGGCGAAATTTAACAGGACAGCAAGCAATAAAAGTTGGAAAGGATGTGAAGAGAGAGGAACTTATATACATTGTTGATGAGATTATAAAATGGTATAGTCACTGTGGGAGGCAGTTTTGTGTTTCCCCAGAAAGCTGAACAGAGAAATCTCAATATGACCCATCTATCCACTGCTAGTATTACAGAAAATAGTACTGAGTTACAAATGGAGATTTGTACCTTCCATTCATATCAACATTATTCACAATTAGCAAGAAGATGGAAACAGCCAATGTCCACCAACAAATGAATGGATTGAGAAATTGTGGTACATTTATATAATGGAATATTATACAGCATTCATGAGCAATGATTTAGAAAAACATAACATGGGGAAAGCTGGAGAGTATTATGATGAGTGAAATAACAGTTTCATAAGGACAAATACTTCATAAGAGCATTATTGTCTAGAGCGATGGCTACATGGTGGAGTGGACCTGGGGGAGGGTTTGTAAAATAATGAAAGAATCTTTTCTTTTACTTTTCCAAGAGGGTAATGTCTGGTGGGGGGGAGCCTTGGGAGGGGACAAATCTACAACAATGAATCAATGGAAATCCAAAGCCTCTGTAAATTTTCACTGAAATTAATAACAAATTTAA